TATTTATTTGACAGATAGAGATCACAGTAGGCAGAGAGGCAGGCAGAGAGAGAGAGGAGGAGGAAGCAGGCTCCCCGCCGATCAGAGAGCCCGATGCGGGGCTCGATCCCAGAACCCTGAGATCATGACCTAGAGCCGAAGGCAGAGGCCCAACCCACCGAGCCACCCAGGTTCCCTTATTTGTACCTTTTCAAGAAAAATAATATTGAATCTGCACCTGTGTTCTTAGGATAAGTGTCTTGTTAAGTGGTGACAAAAGAAAATTTAGCTTTTATAACAAAAGCTTTGTTATTAAGTTGCTTTATATCTGTATATCTTTTTTTGGTGAGGTGTATGTTCAGATCTTTTGCCCAGTTTTTAATTGGATTGTTTGTTTTTATTACAGAGTTTAAGAGATCTTTGTATATTTCAGATATTATTTAATCATCAGATATATGTATTGAAAATAGTTTCTTCTGTTCTGTGGCTTGACTTTTCATTTTCTTACCAGTGTCTTGCAGAGCAGAAGTTTTCAATTTTAATGAAATCCAATTTATCAATTTTTTTCTTACATGGGTCATGCTGTTGCTGTTGTATTAAAAAACTTATTCCCAAGCCCAAAGTCACTTAGATTTTCTTCTATGTTATCTTCTAGAAGTTTTATAGTTTTGTATCTTCTTTTAGGCCTATGATCCATTTTGAGTTAATTTTTATGAAGGATGTAAGACCAGTGTTTAGAGTCATTCATTTACTCATTTTCTTACTTATTTACTGATTTATTTATTTCATGTGATGTCCAGTTATTCTAGCACCATTTGTTGAGAAAACTATTCTTTCTCCATTGAATTGCCTGTCCTCCTTTGTCAAAGATCAGTTGACTATAATTATGGCATCTCTATCTGGGCTCTCTATTCTATTTGTCTTTTTTTTTTTCAAGATTTATTTATTTATGAGAGAGAGAGAGAGAGAAAGTGGAGGAAGGGGCAACAGGAGAGGGAGAGAGAGACTCTCAAGCAGACTTCCCACTGAGTACAGGGCCTGATGTGGGGCTTAATCACACAACCTGAGATCATGACCTGAGGCAAAATCAAGAGCCAGACATTTAACTGATTGAGCCATCCTGGAACGCCCCTCTATTTGTCTATTCTAAGATCTATTTATGTATTCCTTCAGCAATAACACTGTCTTGATTATTGTAGCTTTATATTAAGTCTTAAAGGGAGATAGCATCAAGCCTACAACTTTATTCTTGCTATTCTTGGTCTTTCACCCTTCCACATAAACTTTAGAGTCAGTTTGTTGGGATCCACAAAAGAATATTCTGGCATTTGATGTGGATTGCATTGAGTCTATAGATGAATTTTGGAAGAAAGAAATGATGTGTTGACCATATTGAGTCTTTCTATCCATGAACATGGAATATCTCTCCATTTGTTTAGATCTTCTTTGATTTCCTTCATCAAAGTTTATAGTTTTCCTCACATAGAACTTTTACATATTTTGCTAGATATAGTCCTCAGTAATTTATTTTTTTGCTGCTAATGTAAATGGTATTTTAATCTCAAGTTCCATATGTCCAGATATGTAGGAAATCAGTTGACTTTTTTAAGACTTTATGTTTAAGTAATCTGTACACCCAATGAGGGGCTCAAACTCACAACCCTGAGGTCAAGAGTCAGAGGCTCTACTGGTTGAGCCAGCCTGGTGCCCCTGACTTTTATATATTAACCTAATATTCTGCAATCTTGTTACAATGTTATGTTACGTTCTTGTAAGGAATGTTGAGTTTTGTTCCAGTAGGTAGTTAAATTCTGTAGATCATCTTGACCTTGTGGCAGTTAAATTTTGTGTTTACTGGGGCAGGAGTATTTCAGTTTTGTCCTTAGTCTTAGAGCTGATCTCTTAGTCCTGGGATGTAATTTTTATTACTAAGGTATGCTCTTTTAGATGTTTCACTGAAAATTCCCAGATGTTTACCAAGCTCCTCCACTTGGTAAAACTCAAACTCTAAACTTTGTTTCTACTACAGTGAGAAGATACTAGTCTTCTCAATTTTTTCCAGCTTTCCAAATTTTTTTTTCCCTCGGCCACCTTGGAGTATTGCCTGATTCTGTGCAACTCAGGGGCCAGGCAAATACTTAAGGGGAATTTACATGTGGATTTTGGGGCCTTCCCCTTTATAGCTTCCTTCTCTGGGATTTTTCCCTCTTAATTTCTAGCTTCTCTAGGAATCTCAAACTTCATTCTCCAGTTCTGCAGGCAAAAAGACTATGTGTTTCTTTTTGAGTTCTGTCTGCCCCTGATTTGCAGGCTGGGGATTGTTCCCAGGCACATCAACATGGATCTATCCTGCTGTGGTTTTCTTCCAGTTTCTACCAACTTTTAAAAAAAAATTAGTTTTATTTTTTCAGTGTTCCAAGATTCATTGTTTATACACCACAACTAGTGCTCCATGCAATACGTGCCCTCCATAATACCTACTACCAGGCTCATCCAACCCCCTACCCCCTCCCCTCAGTTTGTTTCTCAGAGTCCACAATCTCTCATGGTTTGTCTCCCCCTCCAATTTCCCCCAACTCCCTTCTCCTCTCCATCTCCCAATGTCTTCCGTGTTATTCCTTATGCTCCACAAGTAAGTGAAACCATATGATAATTGACTCTCTCTATTTGACTTACTTCACTCAGCATAATCTCCTCTGGTCCGGTCCATGTTGATACAAATGTTGGGTATTCATGCTTTCTGATTGAGGTATAATATTCCATTGTATATCTGGACCATATCTTCTTTATCCATTTGTCTGTTGAAGGGCATCTTGGTTCTTTCCATAGTTTGGCTACTATGGCCATTGCTGCTATGAACATTGGGGTACAGATGACCCTTCCTTTCACTACATCTGTATCTTTGGGGTAAATACCCAGTAGTGCAATTGCAGGGTCATAGGGTAGCTCTATTTTTAATTTCTTTTTTTTTTTTTTTTAAAGATTTTATTTATTTATTTGACAGACAGAGATCACAAGTAGACAGAGAGGCAGGCAGAGAGAGAGAGAGGGAAGCAGGCCCCCTGCCGAGCAGAGAGCCCGATGCGGGGCTCGATCCCAGAACCCTGAGATCATGACCTGAGCTGAAGGCAGCGGCTTAACCCACTGAGCCACCCAGGCGCCCCTATTTTTAATTTCTTGAGGAATCTCCATACTGTTTTCCAAAGTGGCTGCACCAAATTGCATTCCCACCAACAGTGTGAGAGGGTTCCCCTTTCTCCACATCCTTTCCAACACTTGTTGTTTACCATCTTGTTGATTTTGGCCCTTCTACTTGGTGTAAGGTGGTATCTCAATGTGGTTTTGATTTGAATCTCCCCAATGGCTAATGATGATGAACATTTTTTCATGTGCCTGTTAGCCATGTGTATGTCTTCTTTGGAGAAGTGTCTGTTTTGTCTTCTGCCCATTTTTTGACGTGACTATCTGTTTTTTGAGTGTTGAGTTTGAGGAGTTCTTTATAGATATTGGCTATCAGCCCTTTGTCTGTAGTATCATTTGTGAATATCTTCTCCCACTCCGTGGGTTGTCTCTTTGTTTTGTTGACTGTTTCCTTTCCTGTGCAGAAATTTTGATCTTGATGAAGTCCCAAAAGTTCATTTTTACTTTTGTTTCCTTTGCCTTTGGAGACATGTCTTGAAAGCAGTTGCTGTGGCCAATGTTGAAGAGGTTACTGCGTATGTTCTCCTCTAGGATTTTGATAGATTCCTGCCTCATGTTGAGGTCTTTTATCCATTTTGAGTTTATCTTTGTATATGGTGTAAGAGAATGGTCAAGTTTCATTCTTCTATACATAGCTGTCTAATTTTCCCAGTGTCTTTTATTGAAGAGTCTTTTCTTCACTGTATATTTTTTCCTGCTTTGTTGAAGATTAGTTGACCATAGGCATTTTTCAAAGTGCTGGAACAAACGATCCTAAAATTTGTATGGAACCAGAAGAGACCCCGAATTGCTAAGGAAATGTTGAAAAAGAAAAACAAAACTGGGGGCATCATATCGTCTGATTTCAAGCCTTATTACAAAGCTGTGATCACCAAGATAGCATGGTACTGGCACAAAAACAGACACATAGACCAGTGGAACATAGTAGAGAGCCCAGATATGGACCCGCAGCTCTACCAACTTTTGATAGCTTTCTAGTGGCTTCAAGGAGTTGTTTTTAAATATTTTGTTCAGAGTATGTTATCATTGTTAGCAGGAGGGTTAGTCAAATGCCTTATTCCACCATCACCAGACACTACATGGAGCAGGCTAAGGAATTTGGACTTTATTCTGCAGGCTGGAAGATTTTAAATCAGGGAGTAGTCTGGTAAATTCTTGATTTGGGAAGATTAGCATAGATGTGGTTTATAGGATGAGTTGGTGTGGAAGAAGCCAGGAGACAAAGGAAGCAGGTGGAAGACTTGCAGTGGTTTGGAAGACAGGGGTCCAAGGGCTCTACTGGAGGAGAGAGGCAGTTGAAATGCATAAGGTTGGTCACATGGGAGAGATTTAAAAAAAAAAAAAAAAAGGATCTAGTTTCTGTGAGGGGATGTGAGACTTTTCCATAGGAAAACATTCCTAAGTGACCACATTCCAGAAAGTCTGGCCTGATTAAAGGTCATTCCAAAGTATATCTCTGTTAAGACTTGGAGAGTCTATTATGTGGTGTTAGTCTTGGTAAAATGACCTAACTGAATCCTGAGTCCCTCCTGGTCTGCTGGTCTCCCTGGCTCACGTGAAGCATAGATTGTCACCAGGATCTACTTTGACCTTGAGTCTGGGTTATTTGTGGAAGTAGCTTGTTTGCCTCCAGCCCCAAAGTCTGGAGTGCAACTGGAAACCAAGCTGTGGAAGGACAGGGAGAACGGGTTACAAATGCAGGATATGCTGCCTGGGCATGCCTCAGCATCCACTGTCTGAGCCTCTTGTCCTTGATGTTGGGCAGCCAGCCATTTATCCTTGACCTTATCTACTAGCTTTTTTGTTTTTTCTTTCAACAGGTCAAATGGATGATGTACTGGATTATATTTGCACTTTTTACCACAGCAGAGACATTCACTGACATCTTCCTTTGTTGGTAAGTACTCCAAGACATGGGACTTTTCAAGGGAAGATGTTGCCCAGTATCAGTGGAGAGGTAGGAAATTTCTAGAAGCAGTCTCAGTCTTACTGGGATAGTTTTAATAAATTAAATCTATAAAGTTGCTCTTCAAGTAAATATTTGTTCAATGACCTTATAAGAGCAGGTATTGTTCTTATAATATAATGATATAACGGTGGACGAAATAAATAAAGTTCCCCAACTAATGTAGTTGGTAAGGAAGCATTTATATATCAAAACAAAACAAAACAAAACAAAACAAAAAAAACACCAAAGGGAAGAAACGGTACACACAAGTTTCCCTTTGACTAATAAAACTAGGTTTCTCTCAAGCACCATTCACTCTCACTATTACTACTGTTCACCATTGTATATACTTTTAGCATATTTATGTATGTACATATATACACACATATATACTTTTTTCTTTCTTTTTTGTTAAGATTTTATTTATTTATTTGATAGAGAGAGATCACAAGTAGGCAGAGAGGCAGGCAGAGAGAGAGAGGAGGAAGCAGGCTCCCCGCTAAGCAGAGATCCCGATGCGGGACTCGATCCCAGAACCCTGGGATCATGACCTGAGCCGAAGGCAGAGGCTTTAACCCACTGAGCCACCCAGGCGCCCCGATATATTGCATCTTTGAAGGTGAAAGAGGCTGTAGATAATGTGTAGCATCTTATTTCTCCTTAATGGGCCTAACTTTCTCTGTACCATATGTGAATGTATACTAAATGTATAGTACTAAAAGTAGTTCAGAAATACCCATTCGTTAACCAATTTTATTTCTACAACTTGGAATCATGGGGTTGGTTTTTTATTAGGCTATGTTGTATGAATGTTTCACCATGATCAATTATCATCAGAAAGAATAATAAAAATATTTCCACTTTAGAGAAACTCCTTACCCAAAGAGCTTCAGTATGAACTTACCCTCTGGGATGTCATAGGCCAAGAATGAGACCCGAATACCACTTCTGTGAATCTTGTTTTGGATCAATGGTCTTAAAGACCTTAGTGTGTAGTCTTCCCCCGAAAGGAGGCTGGCTTCATCCCCACTAGGAGACATAGATGTCTCAGCCATTATGTAGGGAAGAAATGTGGATTACCTAATGTATAATGTTGGTGCCATGTGCCCTAATAAACCACAGACTCAGGATGGGCTAAGTCTCCAGGAGTCTCCAGGAGTAGAGAAGGAGCTCTGCTGAGCATCCTTTGTCTTCCCCAGGCTGCAGGGTCTGGTACCAGGAGTAAGGCCCCATATTGGGTAAAGCCACGTTGCGGGGGGTGGTTCCTGTACCCCATGGGGAGATGAGGGAAACAGGCCAGGCCCAGTAAGGACTGTGTCGTCAGTTAAACATCATGGCCACCACCTCATGTCCTCTGGTCTTCCCTCTGAACAGTGTCCTGTGTGTGGTGCTGGGTGGCCTTCTGCTGTCCTTCTGTCCCTCCTCGCAAATATCATGGGGGACTAGTGTTAGTCTTATGAGCTCTTTCCAGGGGTATTGGTATTTCTGTCTCACTGCTCTTGGCCAAGTAGAAATCTGGTCTAGTGATGGGTGTACTGTCCCTGGTAATTGGAGTATATTTTTACTCATGGCCCTGGGACTTCAGAGTTTCATACTTAATAAATGCTTATCAGCTATCTCTGGAATTGATTTGATTTTGATTTGGGGGGAGTGAATGAGCTTTCTGTTGCTGCTGTAACAAATTGTCACAGGTTTAGGAGCTTTAAAACCACAGAAATTAAGTATTTCAGTTTCTGTGAGTCAGAAGTCCAGGTAGAATCCACTTAGTCCTCTGCTCAGGGACCCATGAAGCCAAAGTCAGGGTGTGGGCCATCCTGAACTCTTCTCTGGAGACTCTAGGGGAGATGCCACTTCAGGCTTATTTGGAGAGTAGGCAGAATTCAGTTTCTTGTGGCTGTAATACTGAGGTCCCCATTTCCTTGACAAGTGCCTCCCACTTCAGCTTCAAGCCCGCAGTGCCTGTCAGAGCCTTCTCAAGCTTAAAATCTCTGCCTTCTGCTGCTGGCCAGAGAAAGAGCTTGACTTCTGCTTTTAAGGGATCATGTTATTAGATTAGACCTACCCCCAATAATCCAATATAATTTCCCTATTTTAAAGCCAACTGGCTGATAATCTCAATTACGTCTTCAGGATCCCTTTTGCCATGGGAAGGGAACATATGGATGAGAAGGTCATGGGACCAAAATTCTTCCCACCGCCGGAAGGCCTCTGATACCTGGGGTTTGGGTGCCTATGTGTGGGTGCAGGTAGACTCCCCCTCTTCCTGATCCGTGTGGAGGCCTCAGCTGGCCCAGCGTAGCAAGAGCTGTCCAGCGGTTTATGTATGGGATGTGAGGGTCTTGACAATCTTCTGCAAGAAAGAGGTTGGGAACCTTCACTGCCTGCTTTAGCCCATAGTCTGGTCCTGCCCTCAGCCTGCTTTCTCTTTCTCTGCAAACTTGAAGGCGTTATAGGTCACAGCTGTTTTTGGGCAGAGTCTTCCCACTCCCTCCTGCCTCTTGCTCAGGGAATGGCACAGAATAGGCTGATCAGACAGACAGAGCCCTATTTCCCCCCTTCCAGGGACATGGACACCAGCTTGGCAGCTCTGCACTCTCTGTAATGAGAGAGAGAGAGAGAGAGAGAGAGAGATTGAGAGAGTGAAGCTTCTGTTCTTCCTGGAGGCACCTTCTGTCTTCCTGGGAAGCATCGTTAACACTGGTTCACTTCCAGGATTGGAGATGGCCCCTTCCCTTTATCTTCCTCCCCTCCTCCCTCCTCGCTCATCCCCACTGCCCTCTTTCTACCACTCCCCTAGGGCAGTTTTCTCTTCATAGTTAACTTCTTTTAAACTTTCTATTGATGTAAACAGCAGTCATATATGGTCACAGGAGACAGAGGATGGTGACTTCTCTCACAACATTCATAGGTGATTTCACCTAGTTTTTTAACATTTACAAAACACTGTATCACATGGCAAAATGAAATTGAAACCGTACACTAAAAAGTGAGGCCCTTTTCCCCCAGGCCTTTATTCTCTCTCCCCAGGGATGTGACTGTTAAAAGTTACCTGTGTGTTCTTCCAGAAATTTTCTGTGCACATTAATTGCATGTGTTTTGGCAATTTCATCATGTGTCCAAGCCTCTGAGGAAACAGTTACCCCTCAGGAGTGTGAAGGTAGATCATCGGAAGGGTGGGAGCCTTCACCTCCCCCATGCACTCCAGAGCTGTGCACCTGTATCTGGGGAGGCAAATATATCCTAGCAGTCAGGACAGTTCAAGGACTTATCATCAAGGAACGAGCATGGTCCTTCTCCACCTCTTGGGTGAGGCTGGGACGGTGGTAGGTCAGGTGAAGGTGACTTCTCCTTCACCTTCAGCTGGTTGGTGGTAATTGCAATGGTAGAGCCAAGCGAACCCAAGGCCTCTGGGTAACAGGGTCTGAGTGGCTCAACTGGGAGACCCTTATGATACTTCACAAGGGCCTAGTTCTGGGGTGATGATTCCAGGGATAGCTCAAGATCATCCCCCAAAGTATACTATTAGGGGTGTGTTCTTGATGAGGGAAGTGTGGTGTGGGAAAGGGATTATCGAATATTACCATGTGCGTTTGGGGTTGCTAAAGGAGTCACGTATACCCACATGATTGTCTATCTTAGGTGTCTGAAGTCTACTACTGATAATGCTTTTGCTTTTGGAAAAGGGACTAAAAGTCTAGGATGTGAAGAAGACTCTTTGTTGTATACTCTTTTGGATATTTGAATTTTTTAAAACTATATGCATGTATTACCTGTTACAAAAACATCTTTCACATAGCCAACAAAAGCAGTGCCGTGTGATAGATCCCTTGGGACTGTGTATCTTGTACTGATGCCTGAGCTTGCTAGATTCATTTGCCTTCCCCTTGGGGCTGGTAAATAGTTGTTTTCAAGACAAAATTTCCTTCATTAATAATCAGTGGAGGGTTCCAGTGTGGCAAAATCATGCCTCTGTTCCTTCAGCCTCTTGTCTGATGGCTGTGAAACATTCAGCAGTCTTGACATGACAGTGTCCTGGAGTTGCAGAGGGAATGTTCGGCAAGAGCCTGCCAGAGGCCAAAGGCAGCGGACCAGGGACCTCGATGAGGAGAGCAGGGTGGCTGGAGCTGCTGATTTGGGAGTCTGTGTGAGAGTTGGTGGCTCTGAACTGACTTGCCAGAAATCACTCTTTATTTTCAGCTGCGTTATGGGGGGCGAGAGCGTGAGTGGGAGGAATTTACTTCTCTGATTCTTGAGACTAACGCGGGTGTCCTTTTCCCTCAGAGGATCATGTTCTAAGGGTACCCGGGATTTGTTTTAATCCAGCATGGTAAGATGCACAGACTCAGGAATGACTGTCATGAAGGGAGCAGGTTGTTAAACTCACAGGTCCCTAGAAACAGGAGGCACAGCACGCGTGAGGTCAGTCAAGAAGCAGAGGTAGGAAGTGTGGGCAAGAATTTTTATGGTGGTTTCCATGGAAGGAACAGGCAAGGCAGAGTAAACATGTTTAGGAGCAACTAGTCTGAATAATTTCTATGGGCTCTGGGGTATTGGGGCTGTCCCTTGTTGGCTGGTACCTGGCCCTGGAGTGATTAGAGCAGCTGGAGAGTGGGCCAGAGTGTGAGAGCTCCTAGAGGAGGTGGTTGGGATATGGGTTCTGGATTGGTTGGTTTACATTTGAAAGGCTTGTTTGTGGGTGAGTTGTTTGCTATCTTTCAGAATTGGCTAACCCAGGGAGGGACAGTCTCTTCAGAGTCAGGAAGGCCCCAAGATGCCAAAGCATTAGAATAAAGAAAATAAAAAGACATGGTATTAGTACACAGCAGAACAGCCAAGTATTGTTGCACAGGTTGTACATAGCACAAGATATCTGGCCAAGGTGGCAGGTGGGGCTGAAATTCTAATGAAGCCCTGTTCACTAGTCATGCTCGGACTGCCTCCAGTTGAAGGGGCTGGCATACAAAGGCACCACATGGGCTGGCAGAGGCCCATTTTGACACTTGTCTCTGGTTGCTGTTCTGTGTCTTTTGCAGTTGTTTGATCAGTCTCTGTTTTTCTGCCTGGACATCAGTTCCAAAGATACAAGACACTCTTATCTCTTTCCCACTAGACTGAAAGCCCCAAGAGAGCAGGGATCAGTCTTTTTTATTCACCATTGTGTCCTCAGTGCTCAGCACAAGCTAACACGTGTTGGAGTGGATAAGTGTTCATGTGATGAATGAATGAATAGTACTCAGGACTTCTGACTCCAGGATTGTAGGTTATCTGCGCTCTGAACTCTTCTCTTGGCATGAATCTGTTCACCTGCCGTAGGATATATTAGGGTGAGTAGCATCCTTTTTGCTGGCAAGAGTTTGGCTCCTATCCCTGCCTCTTTTGAGACCAAAAAGACAGCCAAGAAGGGGAAGCTTTGATTCTGTCTGGAGATTCTTGGTTAGCTCCTCCCTGTTCTAAATCCTCCAGGGGTTTGTGCCTTCTTGGCCACCAGTGAAGAGTCAGTGGCTCGGTGTAGGGCTCAGAGGGCCATGGCTGTGGCTGGAGCCCCGGCTCCCACCGCAACAAGTGGAACCCTGCAGGAAGCCCCAGCAGTTGCCAAGCATGGCCGCAGGGTGGTTGCTGGAGAGAGCCTCGGTCCCTGGCTTGCTTTGACAAAAAGAGAAAACAAGAACCTGCTTTGAAAAGATGCCTTGTGTGAGGGGAGGAGGATCATGGGGGAGGGGCAGCAGGTGCTGGCTGGCTCAGTTGGTGGAACGTGCAAGTCTTGATCTCAGGGTTGTGAATTTGAGCCCCATGTTGGGTGTAAAGATTACTTAAAAAAATAAAATCTTAGGGCACCTGGTGGCTCATTCGGTTAAGTTTCTGCCTTTGGCTCTGGTCATGATTCTGGAGTCCCAAGATCGAGTTCCGCATTGGGCTCCCTGCTCAGTGGGGAGTCTGCTTCTCCCTTTAACCCTCCCCCGTCTTGTGTTCTCTCTCTTTCATTTTCTCTCTCTCAAATAAATAAAATCTTTAAAAAAATAAAAATAATAAAAAATAAAATCTTAGAAAAAGGAAGGGAAAAAAAAGGCGGCTTTGGGCTTTTGCTCTGTGTTGGCAAGTGCGTACACCCTTCACCAGTGGCGGCAGGAGGGATCCGGAGGCCTGCAGAAGAGGCATTTGTGTAGCTGGGTCTCGCGGCTGTGTTGCCGAGAACCGAATAGAACGTGTATTTTCTCATCTCTCTCCAGGTTTCCATTCTATTATGAACTAAAAATAGCCTTTGTAGCCTGGTTGCTGTCTCCCTACACAAAAGGCTCCAGCCTCCTATACAGGAAGTTTGTACATCCCACGCTGTCTTCAAAAGAAAAGGTAATTTATGCTGCTCAGGCTTTCACTCCTTCCGGCAAGTAAAAAATTTAAAAAGCGATCAGTAAAAAGGACAAAGTGTTGTAGGAGACCCTCGATTTTCTCTTATTTCCCTCCAACAATTTGTTCCTTCTAATCTTCTTTTTTTAATGTATTTTTCTGACATGTTTAGAAATCGTGGTGAGATCCTCAAAAAGATGTTATGTATCATTACTGATTGAAAAGCATTTCCATAAATTGAAACAAAAAACAACAAAAGATTCACTCATAATTCAACTCCCCAAGCTGAATTTCCTTCCTTTCATCATGCTCAGCTCCCATCCTTTTGTAGATATGATTTTTACATAGACTATTGAAAAATACTTTTAAAACGTACCATAGGAAAATGGAACCATAATGAGATTAAATGACTTGAACTAGTGCCCAGATAGCTACGGACAGACACTGGAAGATAAGAAATTCTTGTGCAGTGTTTGCTTTATTGTTCCATGATAAATACATGCCTACCAATGGAATCCCTGCTATTTTGGTAATTATCAGTTGGTAAGGACTAGTGAGAGCAGTCATAATAATTTGTTTCATGCTATTTACCTTCTGTGTTTATTTTGCTTCGAGTTGCTTCACAAACATCTTTGCAATGAAAATATAGATTTGTCTAATGCCAGAGATGGGAAAAATAAGACAGGGAAAAATTACAGGAAAGGGTCAGCAACAACTAAGAATTCAAGTAAGAATTACAACTTATATCTCTTGAAGAGAAATTTAATTATAAGCTACTTATAATGGCACTGTCCGTAAAATGATTTTTTGTTTAACATCTCTACTGAACTTAATTTGCAAGATTTGCTTTCACTGGATTGCTCTACTGTTTTTTTTTAAGATTTCATACAATAATAAATGCATTACCTTTGTCTTACTAAATTGCTTTGATAACTTTGTTTTTTTTGCATACCAGTCTTTTCTTTAAAATTTTAAGTATACCAAAAAACCCCCAAATAACAAAAAACAACAGAAACCCTTAATATATATTTAAATTCTGAGATCTTAAACATGTTTGCGCATAACCTATTTGTACTTGATCCTCATAAAGATTCATGAACCCCACAGTACCTTGAGATTAATTTCTTCTTTTGACTTATTATCTTAGAATAAATTGCCAAGAGCGGGATTACTGAGTCCAATATTGTATAATTCATTAATTCTATTACATGATCTTCTAAACTGATTAAGATATGATTCTTAAAATAGGAGCCCTGTAGGTGGCTTTATATATAAATTTCTATTGTTTCTGAAAGTTGAGTACTTTGGCCTTCTGCGGGGAGATTTTAGGGGAACATAGTAATTGGATGAGCAGACTACTATAGACATTTCTGAGAACGCTTTTAGGAACCAGGATACAGCACTGCCTGTGTCGGAAGGGTGGATTTTGGGGAATGGGAGCTCTCTCATGACCTGGTTGACAAATCCCTATTCTTGGCACTTCCCTTTCTTGCTGGGCTTACCCTGAAGCCACCAATGTCATTTCCAGTAAAGTGAAGGTGACTGACTCTTATGAGCTGCCAAGAATCCCCACCAGAGTCAGTCAGGGGTCACAATGAAAACTTAGTGTGGGGACTTCCTGGGGAAGTCTTAAACAAGGAATGCACAGGGGTTGACTGTCCCACTTGATACCTCAAATCAAAGGAAATGCACTGATGTGCTGAACTTCAAATGAGTCCAAGGACAAGTGTCATTGTATTACTGAACTCCGAAATGAGCTACTGTGATGTACAAAACAGCCGTTCTTTAAACAGTGACAACAAAACAACCCAGCCCAAACAAACAAAAAGAATAAGCCAGACTCGATGCAAATTTGAAGTAAACCACTGTTTTGGTCCCTCAAGGAAAGAGACTTCAATCCTCTTTCCAACCTCTCCCCTGACCCTGGGGATATTGTTGGATGACTTCTCATTTCTGTTTTTATTTCATTATCCATAAAATGATCTCCCTTATCAACAAAAATAGCACTTACCTCTTTTTATGTCATCTCTCCCCCTTGATACCTACATGGGAGGGATTTGGATATAGTATGAAATAGCTATAGAATAGTAGGATTTCAGAGCTGCAAGGGCCTGACCCCCTTGAGATAGGAAGATGACAGTGGTCCTCACTTACTGAAACCAGCCACTGTGTTAGATCTTTACTAAAATTGTCTCATGTAATCCTTGTTGTGCTCCATTAGTTAGATACTGTCACTGTCCTCATTTTTCAGATGCTAAACACTTGCCGATCCCTGACAGCCAGTTAGTGGCAGGTCTGAGGTTAGATGCTGGATTCTTGGCATTCTCTCCTTCAGTTCTTCTGTTCCTTCAATGTCTTGGAGAGTAGCTGTGTGTAGAATGCAGGGCCGTCCACATCCAGGACCCCTGGAGCCTTCCTGGAAGGTTAGAGGACTTTAGGAACAATCCTAGGCTATTGCTCAAAGAAAACCTTCCTAGATCAGTAAGTCGCTGTGTTGTTTTTTTTTTTTAATTCCTCTTTCACTTCCCTGTATCTCTTCTGTTTCCCCTCCTCCTCCTGTCTACTCTTCCTCCAAACACACACCCCAAAGTGTCTATGACTTTTCAGTCTCAACGAGAATCCGTGATTGGGCACGCTGCCAAGCCCAGTGCTCAGAAGGGAGGAAAGAACAGAGATTTATTTGGACCTTCCAACTCAGTGTGCCTCTGCTTTTCCTTCAACAGGAAATTGATGATTGCTTGGTCCAAGCAAAAGACCGAAGTTACGATGCCCTTGTGCACTTTGGGAAGCGGGGCTTGAATGTGGCGGCCACAGCGGCAGTGATGGCTGCTTCCAAGGTACTGTGCGGGGGACTGGGGTGGGGGCCTGTTGCTGAGCATCACAACGTGTGAGCATCTCCAGCCCGCCCACCCACACTGTTCATCACCCACACAACTTGCACAGGACAGGCTCAGGACTAGGACCAATCAGTGGTTCCTCATCTTTTGGGGGTCCCTTTGAAAATCTGATGGAAAAAAATTGGTGCATCTTACCCCCAGAAAATTGTGCCCATGCACACACACATGCACACAGACACACACAAACACGCTCACACACAAACGATGTGTGCAGTATTAAGAGGTTCCCAGAGCTCCGGAAACTCATGGTGGGTCCCAGATGAAGACCTCTGAATTACTTCAGAGCTTCAGCCTGAGGGAAAGAGGAAACAAAAAGGGAGGAGTGAGCTCTTCTCTACAGTTTCCCAGGGTGCACTGCGGGAGACCCCTAAATCAAAATATGGCCAGGTGGGAGACTACCGGCGTGAGTGGGTGGCTCTACGCACACGTGGCACAGCAGACCCCAGGGAGGAGCCCAGGGTCCCACAGGAGGTGAGTGGTTCAGACACGGAGGGGGAAGATGTGTGTAGCAGCGGCAACAAGAGCTGGAGGAGGTTTGAAGTAAAGACTGGTCGCGTGGGATGCTGGGATGGAGACCTCACTTCCTTCCCTTTCCATCCAGCCCCGTTCATGTCCTCTTGTGGTCCTCTCTAGCTTCATCTGTCTCACATCACATTCTCCTTGTCCTTGTGTCCGTTTCTCATCATGTGCTCAGCTTTGAAAAATTAAATTGGTAGACATTTCCCTTGGAGTAAATCCAGCAGATTGCCTTGTGTATCCTGGTGACAGTCCTTATCCCCAGTCCAAATGTGGAGGAGGGGTCTGCCTTCAGCTGAGGTGGAAGAGAGGAAGTTATACTAGTATTTGGGAAGACCCACTGGCTGGGAGGTGAGTTGTGTGAGCAAAGGGAAGCCCTATGTCCTAGGTGGTGACTGAGGGTTTTAGGCAAGGGGGAGCAGAGTTGTGAAAGGCTTTGGAGGATATTTGATACCGACCTTCGTGGTCCATGGGCCCTGAGTGGATGGTCACATGGAGTGTATCGATAGCCTGCTGGATCAGGGGACCGAGCCCGGTTTTCTGTGCCCTAAACCAAGAAGCACATTAGAAGCATTTCTGGAAAAAAGGCTTACCTCTTGGGGTTGAGTGTTTGTTTGAAAAGTACCATCCACTTGAAGCCAAGGCATTCTGCAGACAAAATCTGAGAGAGGGAGAGAAGGAAAACCCAAAAGGAATGATCCCTATTCAGAGAAGCACCAGCTCCTTCTATAACACAGAAACGTAGTGTGGTGTCCCCCATACTCCAGTAGCTTCTGGTGAGGTGACGGATCCCAGTGACTATCCTGGGAGGGGACATTCCGCTTTGGTGTGCCAAGGAGAGGTATCAGGATTTACAAGGAACAGTGAACGCTGAGATCCTTCTGTTTGAGATGTAACCATTTCGTGCTTTTATTTTCAAAGCTAAAAGATAGAACTCAGCATTGCTAAACTCTTAATTCATCAGGCCAACTTTGCAACATGAAGCTACAGAGAAACCTTCTCTTGGCCCCTCCGCCCCATCTCTTCTGCTTCTGAAGCCTGAAGGAAGATGGGTCACTGTTTCATGTCCAAAAAATGTGAGATATTCATCAGTGTGGGTCTCCTGACCGTATAGCAGCGTGTGTGCAAATGTTACTCTGACCGTAATTCGGCAGGGCCGTCCTTTTCCAGGTCTGCCTCAGGCTGGAGCCTCTCTTGATGCCATCTTGGCCAACCATCCGCCAACCCCTCAGACCACTGTGAGCCCAAGCCTCCAGCCAGGCGTCTCACATTAAGGAAGCTCCAGACGGTCTGAAACTTGCCTCAGGAAATACTGCTCATTAGTTCTTTCTGGTTGTCCTACAGTAGTGAGGGATGCCCACTTCCTGCTGAATTTGGTTTCAAATGGGAAGGCTTTCTGCCTTTTGGGGACTTTGCTTCTCCTCTTTAAATATAAATATCTTGAGAGGGAAAGCACATCTTCTCTTCCAAAAATAATGCCCTCTATTTTTGAAACAGATGTGTACTTTAAAAAAAAGAAGAAGAAGTAAAATCCAGTCTGGCTGAGGGGTAAATCAGTGGTTTCCACAGCAACAAAGGGTCACTCTAGGCAGGGGTCAAAGGATGATGACTCACCAGTGAGTCCAAATCTGGCTTTCATGTCCAAACCACCTGGGAAGCCTTGTTATCATTTTTTAATAGATTCTCAGATGTGCTGATACAGAATCTCAGGCAGTAGGCCCAATCTCTATTTTTAACAAGTTCCCCAGATAATTTTTAAACAGGCAGCTCTGCCCAGGTCTCTGCCTGAGGCCCCTTCCAGAGTCAGAAGCACACAGGTGATTAGGGTTCGAGCACTTTATTGGAACACTCCTAGGATGCAGAATTAGCTTCTTAGAAGCACTAGCCTGGAGAATGAGAAAGTGTGTGTGTGTGTGTGTGTGTGTGTGTGTGTGTGTGTGTGTGTTTCATTTCCTTACAACTTCATGCCAGTTCAGAAATATTATGGTGGGAAGACAAATTCCTCTCCTTCTTTGTAACGCTCCTAAGAGCCTGGCACAGTGCGCTGCTCCCAACTGAGCCCTGAACAACCTTGGTGACCCCCTCCACCCCCCACCAGGGGAATAGTCAGAACAATTTTATGGGGAAAAAAAAGACAGCCTGCCAAGTCTCCCACGACTAGGGTGACTGTACGGGTTAATGTCCAAACCAGGACACATCTGAGAGGGAAAGGGGTGCTGGAATAATTACAGCAGGAATAGGTATACATGAGGCCTGTTCCAAGCAAACCAGGACTTGGGGTCACCCTACTCATGGCCCCCATTTACAACTCTTGGACCCTGCCTCTCTCCTCCTAGAAAACACCCTCAATTCACAAATCAGTTCTCACTCTAAATATCTACTACATTTAACCAAATGGACACACAAGAGAGTGTGAGCTACATGAAAGACTGTCTCTTACTTCAGACAGACGAGAGTTCAAGTACCTAGATGAGAGCTCACACCTCCCTGTCTTCTGCTCTCTTTTCCATCCTTCGAAGGCTCCCCAGAGAGGAAATACGGAACTTAAAAGATCTTTTATTTATGCTTTTTTTTTCTTTCCTTTTTTTTTTCATTGAAATGTGATCAGCATGTAAGATTATATTAGTTTCAGGTGTACTACATAATGTAGCCACACTTTGAGTTAATAGTTTTTTTTTCTTGTAGTGTTGAGCCCTGAGCCCTGTCTGCCCCCTCCCCCCCCACCAAAAAAAAGTTTGCAGAGTTTTTGCATCATCAGGAAGAGTAAAGAAACTTTGTACACTATATTGTACCAGTATAAGTTGTTATTAATGTTAACATTATTTTGTCTTAGAACTGGAAAAAAAAACAGCACCACAATTACACATGGGAGATTCCCCACCAGGCCCACAAACCCCCATCTCACTCCCAATCCACTCCCAATTTTTCCCAGGGTCTAATCCCTCTCTCTGGAAGTGTGGATGCATCTTTTCTTTCTATGAAAACTGCTCTGTCTCCTTCCTGAGGACAACTTTCTCTGGGACGATCTGTCTGAATGTCCCTCTTCTCCATGTTGGCTCTGTGCCTAGATGGGGGTTGTTTCCTAGCCAGTAATTCCACTCAGAGGGAAAAGTGAGCTCCAGGGTTTTTTTAAACTAGAATTGGAAATCTCTCTCTCTTTAAAAATAATACTCTAGAATAAGCAAAACACACCCTTACATGGAAGAGAAACCATAGTGAGAAAAACCAATTGAACATAAGTTGGAAAACAGTGAGGTGTCCAAGGCCACCCTATGCCTTTTGAACTTGGAAGCACATCTAGGTTTCTTCTACCTGCCTGGTTCTTAGACCTGGTAAACCAGCCTTGCTTGTATTTGTCTCATAACCTGAAAAATAATGTTGTTTTCCTCCCCCTAGAGATCCTATCCCTAAACCAGTTCCACTGGTACCCATACCATTGGTAAAGTCACTTGGTAACACACCTGCTCCAGGTGGTGCTGACAGTCTGTGAATTCGGGATTTTTCTGCCCCAGATTGTATGCGCGCTTTTCTCCCTGGAATCTAATATTTCCTATTTAAATTGTTAGCTTCTGGAGATGAGAGGATCCAGATTATTTTCCTTTGTTTCTTGCTTAGGGAAACGACAACAACAGAATAAAGAGCCCAACAGTGCCTACTTGGTTAGTATTCTGCACATGTATCTACTCACCAAACCTTCTTGAATGATCTCAAGAGTAAACTTTTTTGATTCTCTAGTCCTGCTCTTTCCATGCTGCTCTTTCCATGCGAATTAATTAGAAATAAGTACATTTAGAATACAGTTCCTCAGTCATACTAAGTCACATTCCCAGTCCTCAGCAGCCATGGTAGCAGATGGCTGGCATGGCCACAGAATGTTTCCAACATCACAGAACGTTCTCCTGGGAAGCCCTGCCTCAAGCCCTCTCTGAAGCCTTTTGGGTTCTCCTTTGCCTTATTTTCAACCTTCCACCTGCAGGGCCCTGACTTTGACAGGCCCCCTCCCTTATCCACTCAGCTGATCTGAGGTTCAACGGCAAAATAAGGAGAAGGAAACTTAGCTTACAACGTCACCCTCATTTCTCCAGTGTCTTCCCTGGTCCCACCCCACTTTCACACTATGACTCCGTTTCCTCAATTTGCCAGCCAGAACTCACTTTGCCTGCAGTTATGGTCGTGGTCAACAGGCACTAAGATAGAGCCAGGCCTTGGTTACAGCCCTAGCATCTGAACAGCTGGGCACAAGACACAGAGCGACAAATTGTAGTGTTTTCCCACTCATTTTTTAAATTCCCACTCAATTTTGCCTTGAAAATAAAACTCTACAGAACAGTTCATCATAGTTGTTGTTTTTTTTAAGTCGTCTCTCAATTATCCTTATCTTTTATCCATCGCTGGTTTTTCTAAACCTCTTGCTTGGAAAAAAT